CATGCCTGTAGTCCCAGCTACTCGGGAGGCTGAGGCAGGAGGATCGCTTGAGCCCAGGAGTTTGAGGTTGCTGTGAGCTAGGCACTCACTCTAGCCCGGGCAACAAAGCGAGACTCTTGTCTCAAAAAAAAAAAAAAAAAAGTCTAGGAACTGGATGTTTGATAAGTAAATGGTGTGTGTGTGTGTGTGTGTATATATATATATATATATTTTAATTTCTTTATGGAGTGTTACTTTTTGTGCTTTTCATACAAATGTGTACTGTAGACAATCAAAATCAGTTTAATCAACATTTTTGGTAGATCTTTGTCTTTTGTGCTTTGAACAAATTGTCCCGTATGATTTAGAAACCCAGATAACTTTCTATAATAAAACTTAACTTTTCTGTATGTGATTTGACTAATTCTAGTCTCTTTCACTCCACATCTCTTTAAAATTTTTTAAGCATTTTAGGCCGGGTGTGGTGGTTCATGCCTGTAATCCTAGCACCCTGGGAGGCTGAGGCGAGAGGATCACTTGAGGTCAGGAGTTTGAGACCAGCCTAAGCAAAAGCAAGACCCCCTCTCTACTAAAAATAGAAAAAGTTTGCCAGAAGTGGAGGTGTCCACCTGTATTCCCAGCTACTTGGAAAGCTGAGGCAGGAGGATCTCTTGAACTCAGGAGTTTGAGATTGCTGTGAGCTAGGCTGACACCACAGCACTCTAGCCTGGGCAACAGAGCAACATTCTGTCTCAAAAAAAATAAAATGAAAAAAAAATAAACATTTTAAATGATGTGATACATTAAACGCAAACCAATCATAATCTTTTAAAGATTTAATATATGCTTAATTTTTCCTAACTTTCTTTTGGAGATTTACTACATGTTTAACATATTATTTAGTCATTGTTAGATTTGTAGATTGTTATTGATTAAATCTAGGGAAAGGAATTTTGCTTACAAGGAGACAAATGATTTCAAATCTGAAAAATCCTTCTGTGAGTTTTGTTCAAGTACAGGTGAAGTATATCCCATTAAAATTGATAGTTGAAGTGATAGAGACAAATGCCATCTTGGATTTGTCATGTAAATATGTTCTCAGTATTCCTTTGAGGTTAATAGATAAGAAGGAAGTACATTCAATGTGTCATGTATGTTAATTGTACAGTACTCTTCCCTTATCCATGGTTTCAATTACCTGTGGTTAACTGAGGTAATTGAATAGGTTAAATAGTTGAGTATAGTATAATAAGATATTTTGAGAGAAAGCATGTCACATAAGTTTTATTACAGTATATTGTTATAATTGTTCTATTATTAGTTGTTAATCTCTTACTGTGCGTAATTTATCAATTAAACTTTGTCATAGGTATGTACGTATAGGGAAAAACATGGCATACATATGATTTGTTACTATCTGTGGGTTCGGGCATCCACTGGAGGTCTTGGAATGTATCACTTGCAGATGAGGAGGAACTACTGTAAATAGATACTTAAGGACTTTCCAAGGGCTAGGCACTATGCTGAATGATTATCATACTTTATCTCATCTAACCTTTAACAGCATTATTATTATTATTATTTTATTTATTTATTTTTGAGACAGAGTCTCACTCTTTTGTG